CCCTCCTCCTCCTCCTCCTCCTCCTCCCTCCTCTCCTGGTCGTCCTCCTCCTCCTGGTCGTCCTCCTCCTCCTGCTCGTCCTCCTCCTCCTCCTGCTCGTCCTTCTTCTCCTGCTCCTCCTGCTCCTCGTCCTCTCCTGCTCGTCCTCGTCCTCCTGGTCTTGCTCGTCCTCCTCCTCGTCGTGCTCTTGCCCCTGCTGAAAATGTGGCCCAGGAATGGGAGTTCTGGAAAGTCGAAGAGCACGAAGTTGCCTACAGTTGGCTACGGGCATTCAAAATGTGGCCCGGGAATGGAGTTCTGGGAACTCGAAGAGCACGAAGTGGCCTACAGTTGGCTCCGGGCATTCAAAATGTGGCCCGGGAATGGAGTTCTGGGGACTCGAAGACCACGAAGTGGCCGACAGTTGGCTCCGGGCATTCAAAATGTGGCCCGGGAATGGAGTTCTGGGAAGTCGAAAAGCACGAAAAAAAAAAAAAAGAATATCGTGTGTGACTGTTGACATCCGGCCCTCCAGAAATGTGGGCCCGAGAATGGCGTTTGGACTCGAAGAAAAAACGAAGTGTGTGACTGTGTGGTAATCCGGCCCTCCAGAATGTGTCCCGGGAATGGCGTTCTGGGATCTCGAAGAGCACGAAGTGTGTGACTGTTGCATCCGGTTATTCAGAATGAGCCTGGGAATGGAGTTCTGGGAACTCGAAGAGCACGAAGTGTGTGACTGTTGGTGAAAAACGAGCGGGGCCCCCTGCCGCCCGGCAACTCCCAACGCCTGCCCGGACCCCCCTGTGGAGTGATCTGTGAGCTCATTTGAGTCAACTAGAAACCTATCGCGCCTCATCGTTAGGTAAAAAACAAAAAAAAAAAAAAAAAAAAAAAAAAAAAAAAAAAAAAAAAAAAAAAAAAAAAAAAAAAAAAAAAAAAAAAAAACGCAGGGTTTCGCAACACTGATTTACTTAAAAAGTTTCCGCGCGGCTCTTGCGAATTCTTAAGAAAATCATTGGTTTTCCCCATTTTTTACAAAATGCACTCAAACGAGCTTCGCGCGCGCATGTCGAAATCTGTCGAACGCCCTTGCGCGCGTGCCGTCGCGATAATCCTCTGCAAAAAACAGGACGAAGTGCAGACGCGCGCGTATGCCGAAAACCTTCAAAACAGATCAGTTTCGGAAGGACGTCGAAATCGTGCGTCCAAAAAACCTACAAAAACTCAAGGTTTCGCAACACGGATTTTCAACAAAAGCGAGCGCGCGCGCTCTTGCGTCGTCGTCGTCGTCGTCGCCGTCCTCTCTCCTCCCGCGTCGTCGTCGTCGCCTACGTCGTCCTCTGTCTTTCCTCGTGTTCGTCGTCGTCGTCCTCTTTCGCGTCGTGGTCGTTTCCGTCGTCGTTGTCGCCGTGGTCGTCCTTCCTCCTCCTCCCTCGTCGTCGTCGTCCGTCGTCGGCGTCTCGTCGTCGTCCCTCCTATTTCGTCGCCGTCGTCGTCGTCGTCGTTGTCGTCGTCTTCCCTCCTCCCTCGTCGTTGTCGTCGTCGGCGTCGCCGTCCTTCCTCCTTCTTCGTCGTTCGCGTCGTCGCCGTCCTCCCTCCTCCCTCGTCGTTGTCGTCGTTGTCGTCGTTCTCGCCGTCTTCGTCCTTCCTCCTCCCTCGTCGTCGTCTTCGTTGGCGTCGTCGTCGTCGTCGTCGGCGTCGGCGTCGTTGTCGTCGTCGAAGTCGTCGGAGACGTCGTCGGTGTCGTCGTAGTCGTTGTCGCCGGTGTCGTCGTAGTCGGTCTTAAGAGGTTTTGCAAACCAAGTTGCGGGTGGGTGGGTGGGATGTTTGCAAGAGCGTGGGATGTGCCGGATCATGGGTACAAATCAATTCTCCTTTCTAAAAGGAAAATAAACTCTACCCCCCCCCCGGACTTATGCGTTCCCCTTTCGGGTATGTAAATCATATATGATTCTGACCACTCGCCCATCCTAAATATGAAATCATACCATCCCAGCCAGGCCGGGTTCCCCCACTGAGGTTTCCTTGTAAAAAAACACTATGCGGTGACATTTGTTGTTCTAACATAACACTTTTTTCACGAATCCCTTGCAAAAAACGGGACGAAGTGCACACGCGCGCGTCGACGCGCGCGCATGCCGAAATCCTTCAAAAACCTTCGGTGTCAGAAGGATTTCGCAATCGAGTTTCCAAAAAAACATACAAAAACACAAGGTTTCACAACACTGAGTTGCTAAAAAAACTTCCGCGCGAGCTCTTGCGAAATCTTAAGAAAACCATGGGTTCTTCAAGATTTTCACAAAGTGCTACCAAACGGGCTTCGCGCGCGCTCATGTCGAAATCTGTCGAACGCCCTTGCGCGTGTGCCGTCGCGAGAATCCTCTGCAAAAAACGGGACGAAGTGCAGACGCGCGCGTCGTCGCGCGCGTATGCCGAAAACCTTCAAAACCCATCGGTTTCGGAAGGATTTCAAAATCGTGCGTCCAAAAAACCTACAAAAACCTAAGGTTTCGCAACACGGATTTTCAACAAAAGCGTGCGCGCGCGCTCTTCGCGTCGTCGTCGTCGTCGTCGTCGTCGCCGTCCTCCCTCCTCCCGCGTCGTCGTCGTCGTCGTCGCCTACGTCGTCCTCTGTCTTTCCTCGTGTTCGTCGTCGTCGTCCTCTTTGGCGTCGTGGTCGTTTCCATCGTCGTTGTCGCCGTGGTCGTCCTTCCTCCTCCTCCCTCGTCGTCGTCGTCGTCCGTCGTCGGCGTCTCGTCGTCGTCCCTCCTATTTCGTCGCCGTCGTCGTCGTCGTCGTGTCGTCGTCGTCGTCTTCCCTCCTCCCTCGTCGTTGCCGTCGTCGGCGTCGCCGTCCTTCCTCCTTCTTCGTCGTTCGCGTCGTCGCCGTCCTCCCTCCTCCCTCGTCGTTGTCGTCGTTGTCGCCGTCGTCGTCCTCCCTCCTTCCTCGTTGTCTTCGTTGACTACGTCGTCGTCGTCTTCGTCGTCGTCGTCGGCGTCGGCGTCGTTGTCGTCTTCGTCGTCGTCGACGTCGGCGTCGTCGTCGTCGCCGCCGTCGTCGTCGTCGTCGTCGTCGTCGTCGGCGTCGTTGACGTCGTCGGCGTCGTCGGTGTCGTCGTTATCGTCGTCGTCGGCGTCGTCATCGTCGTCGACGTTGTCATCGTCGTCGTCGTCGGCGTCGGTGTCGTCGTCGTGGTCGCTGTCGTCGTCGAAGTCTTTGAAGACGTCGTCGGTGTCGTCGTCGTCGGTGTCAGCGGCGCCGTCGTCGTCATTGTCGCTGTCGTCGTGGGCGTCGGTGTCGTGGCCAAGTGCCATCTGGTACCTACCGTCACGGTCTTGCGACGAAGTTGCGGGTGGGAGGGTGGGATGTTTGCACGAGCAGTGGAGAGGACAGCTTCAAGACGGTCAATATTAATTGCAAAACATAGACTGCACCGCATGGACTGCACTACCTAGACTGCACCACATAGATTGCTCAACATAGATTGCATAGATTACACCACATGGATTGCACACCCCTTCAGACGTCTCACCACGGAAGCTGATGACGCCTACGACCGCTGACTATCCTGGTGAGATACGCTCAATCGGCGCTAGGGCCCGACCTACCCCGACGACGACGGCCGCGTCCGACCCTGCATTCCGACGCCGTCTGACGACTGACGAGCGGACTCCCTACATCTCCAGGACACCGGCCCCAAGCTTGCATACTGTCCCACGGCTCCGCCGACATGTCAACCGTCTGCCACCTCGTCTGTCCTCCTGCCCCCTGGCTGCATTTCGGGCGTGCGCCACCGGGTGCAATGCCTTCGCCTCGAGCGCTCGTCGGACCACCTATGGTTAGGTCGGGCATGTCCCCCTACAGGCATATTTTGGGAGAAAAATGAAACATAGTCAAAATAAAATTCCAAAATGCTGAAAAATGAAAAGCGAATCGTCCCCAGACTATTTCTGGATTGTTTTTGAATATTCCTCCTGCAGGGCTGTAGGGGGACATGCCCGACCTAAACTCGGGAGCGGCCAAGAGGGGGTTGTCCAAGAGGGGGGGGTGCAAATCATGACCAGCGGCATGTGCACGGCCCAGCGGGGGGGCCAGGGACGTAATGAAATGAGAAGAGGCGCCATGAAACCTGGGGAAATATCCTGGCCCCCGCCATGATATCGACCCCCCCCGGTCGTCACCCCCCTCTCTTCCGCCCCCGATAGACCCATGGGGCCATCCTCTTCTGAGCCGACGCACCCCGGGCCGGCGCCGCGTGGGAACGCCCGGCGGCACGTTCCAC